TTACAGATTTGAACAAATACACACAAAAACATCAAAATTAGCACAGAAACAGTACTATATAACATTTTAGACACATTCTAGATAGTTTATCAGCTAAAAAAATGTTAATTTTGGGGTAAGTTACTCTTTAACCTCTTTCAAACTGCATCATAATTTCACGATAACCTTTTCTGTTTAATGTATAGTTAGCAGCGAGCATTAACAAACAATTAGGTTAAAAAAACGAAACATGTACAAAAGTAAAGACAGATAAATGACGAAAGGTCTTTTACAGTGGCCTGAGGTTAAACCTCCCACGTCTTGTTTCTTTACATAATGTTGTAACCTGTCGGGAAGTCGCTTTCGGAGGAGTTACTGCGCATGCGCGTTTCGACTCGGTCCGGAGTCTGTCCGCCATCTCTGTCGGCAGCCCCATTGTTCGCTCCGAAGCTAACGGCGGTGTCAAACCACTTGACGTTTCGTGTTAAATTAACTTGACCGTGTCACCGACAGCTGCCTGCGACAGTCGTGGATTTGCTCACAAGGTCGCGACTTGTTTTCGGCCATCAAGTGAGACAGGATGGACGACGAGCAGCCTAAAACCCTGTAAGTGTTTGTGACTGCGTTCCTGTTAGCACAACAACATTTAGCGGCAGTCAGAGCACACCAGAGTAAAACCGCTCCTTCCTGCCAAATATTTCAACTGTATGTGATAATTTCTTTGTGTACGTAGATAAGCTATCTTCTCAATTAAAACAGAAGACGCTGTAATGATTTAACGTTTGGTTTATCGACTGACTTTGCCTGGCTAATGCTATCGAGATAGCAAGCTAGCTACTTCCAGAAAAATCTGAAATTTCCCAGCCTGCCCCTGTCTGCACCAGGAGAACCGTTCTCTGTAGGGTTTACGTGCTGAGGTTTTATAATAAATCTAAATTTGTTATATGCCCCGGTGAAGTTTTGGTGTGAGGTAAATTTTTTAAAGAAATATTGTGTTTTGTCTGTCATCACCCTGTTAGCGGTGCTGGGGTTGGACTGGTCAATGTGGAGGCCTCAGCAGGTTTCGGGTTGTTTTATAATCTCATTCTTGTTAAGTTGTTGTGAAAACTGATAAGATTATTTGCCTGAGAAAGATCAATTAGATTTTTATTAAAACTATTTTAGGCACAGCAGCCAATCTAATATTTTGATAAGAACAGCACCGATAGTTACTGTTGTTGTAAATTTCTTCTGGGGTTCATCAAGGCTCAGAGCTGGGGACCAGTGTGTGTTTTTCCATTGTACTTAAAGCTGTTACACTTTATACAGTTTTCAGATGAAATAATTATCACTTGTCATGGAAAAATACTTAACTTAGCTTTTACTAAAAATTGGTAGGACCAAATGGGATAAAACATTATTTTTATGTAAATTAATAACGAACTAGATAAACTAAATCTAGATACACCAAATTTATACATTTTAATAACCCTTTCAGTTAAGCTGTGGAAACTGATGTTGACAGAAAGTGTCTGAAGTCGGTTTTTGGAGTAAAGGAAGAAAACATCAAGTAAATATATCTTTAAAATTGGTGATCTGTAAGGAGTACATATGTGACTAGGGCTGCCACGATTAATCGACTTAATCGATTATTAAAATAATCAATGACTAATTTAATAATCGATTAATTATTTTTTGTTCTTTACTTTGTTTTTCTCTCCAAACTGCTTTGACGCCTTCCACTGCCACATCTGCCTTTCTGTCCTTGACACACATGCACAGTAGTGGTA